ATATATATATATAATTATATCTAACAATACTCAAAATAATTAATTATTTAAATGTAGTAATGCGTAAATAAATCATAAATTTATATATAAATTTTACAGGAAAAACAGCATCAACAAATATTCCTATTTGCCAAATCACGATTAATTGAATTGCATGAAAAATGCACGGCAAACCGCGGCCTCTAAAAATGACTAGTGTTCCATTTTAATACGGGAAAAGATATGAGAGAACGTGTGGGACGAAAGGAATTATATTACATTCCACTAAAAATTTCAAGAATACAGAGAAACAGGTAAATGTAAGAAAAATATAAAACAACGAAATTTTTAAACTTCTAAAAAAAGTACCATCGACATGTGCATCTTTGTTTAGACTAAAGGAAGAAATTAGAAATTGGGATATTGATAAATATCTGGACGTTCGAAGAACATTATTATAAATATAAAGCATCCATAATGCCGGGAATTGTGGCCAAGGCGATAAAGTAGCAAAAGTTAATTAATCGAAGCAAATAAAGCATGGTCAATTACTCGCGTCGCGATACTTCGATGCATCGACTCTCCATCATAGGCCATACCGTACATCACTCGGCCGACAAGTCGGTTACGGCGATCTAGCACGAACGTTCGTATACTTACTTGTAAGTGTGTTCTATTGGCGGCCGGCGTCTAAATTACGCGGCGAAGATTAATTTTGCGTACCCACGACGAACCGCGAGAAGCGATCTCTACTACCCACACACGTCCATTAGAGCCTAATCTCTCAGAAATGTAATTACCGCCGTCATGCCACCGTGTCTGAAGAGACGTATGAATTATTGGGTGAACAAGGAACGGTAGTAACGAAGATGGAAGGGCGACGCGAGCTTATAATTGCGAGTGTTCTCTGATCTCTCTATATTTCTCTTGCAAAACTTCTGAACTTGAACCAAGTTCTCAAGTTGTTGAATGCTTAATATTAAGTGCGACAATCAAATTCCAGGATGTATTTGATAATTGTAGGAAAGATTGCTATCATGTAAGATTGCTAGGAAGTCTGAAAATATCAACATTATTAAAGCTCAACAAAATGTAAAAGTTCAAATTGCGATATTGAATATATTAGTATTATAAATAACTTCTATTATGGAAGTTTCAAATAATTATTTTATATTTACCAGACTGCCGCCGCGATTTCTATCGCCAAAAGTTTTCGACAAATTTGGCAACGTTCCAGAAACAGAAGTAGTGTAAGATGCTTACGTTTCAATCTCATCTTTGTCGATTTCCTCCCCGATAATTAATTATCGTTGAACATGTTCAGAGTTTATTGATCAAACAGCGGTATGCAAATAAGATCGATCAAGTATAAGATGAAATCGCAAAACATTTCCCGATAATAGTACACGGTATTAGTAGATCGGTGTATATATAGCATACTTAGTGTAACTAATTATAAGATGTTATTTTTAACAAATCCTCTCTTGATTTAGCGTTTAATTCGATATCAGCGTTTAAATGAGAACGGTATAATTAATCACATGCATCTATCTATTAAATCTTCGTAATATGCACATGCAATATTAAAACGCTTATCACACTCAATAAGCACATAGCCGCGCGTAAAATTGACTAGCGGAGGTGACGAGTTGACGCACAATCAAGACAAACGGTCCTGCTGGTGTAATAATCG